ATAGAGCCCTTGGGCCAGGGCAGAGAGAGAATCTTAGGCCCAGTCTAGCCCTGAGTCTCTGGAGCTGAAGAATGAGGCCAGAGAAAGACACATGTGAAAAAGTCTGCACTAGGCAATGGGTGGACCAGCAGCTGGGAAGAGCCAGGAAAGGCAGGTGTGATAGGACCTAACTGCAGGGGGTGCTGGATGGGAAAGGAAAGGGGAGAAGCAAAATTGGCAGAGTTGGGGAATGGGATGGCAAAAGGAAAAGACCATCAAAAACTGAAGCAGCTCCAAGAAGAGGAGAGGATAATAGGAGGGAATAATTAAGAAGACAATGGTGGCACATGCCTGTCAAACGATTTGCTTGGGAGGAAGTACAAAAATACCTACTGAGGCAGAAGGTTGCAAGTATAAACCCAGCCTAGACACAGTGTAAACACTGACTTCATAATGAAGTGTTCAAATTGGTAGTCCCAGCACTTGGGAGGCTGAGGCCTAAGGATTACTGAGTGTTCAAGGTCATCCTGGGCTACATAGTTCAAGGACAGCCTGAATGAACTACTGAGCAAAATCCTGCCTCAAACAAACAAAACAAATTTTAACTGATTTTTTTTCTGTTAACCAGCCATGGGTTTCACAACGTCATATACTAGGCCTCTTATTACACCTTCCTCATAAAATCTCATTCATCTGGTAAGCCTCTAAGTCCAAAGTATGTGCTACTCAAGGGGTTGGGAAACTTCATTCATTTACCATGCCTTCTTTGCTCTGGGCCATGTTCTAGACCTCAGGCGTACATGAAAAAGTGCTTGCCAGATGTTTGACACCCCACAGACTGGTACCTTCTTTTTTTTTGCAGAACCGGGAATTGAACTCAGACCCTTGCACTTGCATCTCCCTGGCCCCAACCTTCATATTTGATTTTGTCTTTTCTTCTTGTAATCCTTGGGATTGAACCCAGGGCCTTTGCACTGAGCTACAACCAGGATCTTTTTTATTTTTTTTTAATTTTGAGACAGGGTTGTCTCTCAATAAATTCTGCAGGCTAGTCTTAAATTTGTTTTTTGTTTTGTTTTTGTTTTTTTAGGGAAAGGGTCTACAGGGTGTTCAGGGTCTCATTACTAGATCGAACTCATAGTGACCCGCCTGATTACAGCCTCCCAAGAGCTGGGATTACAGGCATGCACCACCAGGCCCAAGCTCAATTGCCATCTCAGCATACAGGCCCAGGGATGAAACCCCAGCCCCTGCACCTGCTTACAGGCGCTTTAATCCGCTGAACTATTTGGCTGGCCCTAGTCTTAAATTTGTGACTCTCCTGCCTCAGCCTCCCAGAGTGCTGGAACTACAGGCATGTGCCACCCTACCTGCCTTTAAAACCTGGTAGCGAGGGGCCAGGGAGATGGCTCAGTGGAATAAGCGCTTCCCTGGCAAGCACAAGGGGCCTGAGTTCGATCCCTGGTTCTGCAAAATAAATAAATAAATAAAAATAAAACCTGGCAGCGAGTCTTAAAATGATTCCGTGTATCCAGGATCAGGGATGAATAAGAGGAAGATGCAGCTTGTGATTTTGAGGGATTGTAGCAGAAAGGGCAGTATGAGCTCTGGCTGAAACCCAGATCCAGCACTCAGTTCTGCTACTGAAATCCCTGACATTGGGAGAGTCATATTGGCTTTTTCTCATATATAAATGAAGATTATTTCACATGTCTAATGTTATAGAACTAAGTATGTGAAGTTCTCAGCACATGGTAGTCCCAAGTCTTATTTTCCACCCAAGAGGTTGGTTACGCCAAAGGAATAAACACTAATAGACAGGTCCATTTTTTTCTTTTGTTTGTTGATACAGGGTCTTGCTATGCAGTTTGGACTCGTAGTGATCCTCCTGCCTTAGCCTCCCCATTGCTGGGATTACAGGTGTGTGCTAGCGACACCTGGTTTGAGGGCCAGCGCACCGTGCCAAGGGTTGCATGGGGCACAGCATGCAGTCCAGGGGATCAGACTTGGGACCTTGTGCTTGCCAGGCAGGTGCTTAGACTGCTGAGCTATCTCCCCAGCCCCTGTTTTTTCTCTTTCAGATCCTAGTAAAATATCCTTAGCACAGTGTGCCATCTCCACTGTTCCTGCCTTAACAGTGCAATACATTCCCATTACTGTACAGCCAGCACCACCATGCGTCCCCACAGAGGTGCATTTTGGAAAACGGAACCTGCTCACGTCCCTCTCCCCAGCCCCTGGCCACCAGTGTTCTGCTTTCTATCTGTACCGATTCTCCCCCTGTGAGCTTCATATAAGGGGGATCCTACTGTAATTGTCACTGAGTATTTGACTTTCAGCCTAGTGTCCTATTAGATGCCAGAATTTCCTTTTTAGTCTGAATACTGCTCTGTGTGGCTATACCGCTTTGTTTTATTCACTCATCCAGCAGCAGGCCCTGGGTCCTTCCTGCATTTTCACTCTGGTGGCTCACACTATTGTGAGCCCAGTGTGCCAAAAGCCCTCCCTCGTGCACCCTGCTGTCACTTCTGTTGGATATGTCCTCGAAGTGGACTTGCTGAGCCCTGCAATGATTCCCTTTGTAATTTCCTGAGGAGGAGCACACTGTTCATACACCTAAGGGACTGTACCTTTTTTTTTTTTTTTTTTTTATAGGAATCAAACCTACGACCTTGTACTTAAGGAC